AGCTATGATTCCCCGGGCTGAACCATATTCACTTCATTGGCTCAGTGACCACGCTGCAATTAAGGTGAACAAGCAGGTAAAAATTCCATTTTCGATCGGTAAGTATCACGACGAAATGCTTTTCGACGTTATATCGATGCAGGCAGCCCACTTGGTCTTGGGTAGACCGTGGAAATTCGACCGTAAAGCATCTCATCATGGTCAAATGAATGTCTACACCTTTGAGCACGGTGCAAGAAGATGACCCTCAAACCATTGAAGCCGGACAAAGTTCGGGAAGACCAGCGTCATATGGCAAAGAGTCGAGTCCGGAGTGGAGTGAAATCAAGTACAACAGCCCCAGGACATGTACACGTGACCCAGATGCTAGCTCGACGGTATTTGTTAACCATTCTTGCTGGCAGGACAATACCGCGGGGAAGGAGAGTCCGCCGACCCTGTTTTCCGGCTGCCCTGAAGAGCGCCGAATTCGGTGGGGGCAGTTGAGCAAGAGTTGGAAGGAGCGGTTGGCGCCGACGCATTCAAGAATCGGCCAGTAACGTGTAGGAGTGGATAGAACTTGTTGAAACAACCTCACATGAAGAATTCCAAAATCGAATTTTTGCCTCCACGCGAGAAAACCAACGAGCAAAAATCTACCGAATCGGTTGTGGAGTTTGAGCAAGATTCGAAGCAATCCAATGCTTGGGATCCACTTCTGGGGTCTCAAGGAAGGTGTAGGAATCAAGAAATTGGGACGGCGAAGGCTGTGGAGGAAACGCCCAATTTTCAGCTCGCCTCGCCAGATTCTGGGAATTTGAAATTCTCTGGTGACGGGAAAGTTGTGTCCTCCGATTGGTGACGAATGAAACAGGTTCAGGGCTAGAGGCGGTTGGAAATGTCTTCTGGGATTCAGGCGAACCAATTCCAAGCGATGAATTGGTCCGAGAAGTCTTAGAATGGAAAGCCCCAATTCCAAAAGGGTCGCCGGAAAATCGAGTCTCGCCGGAAGATGGAGTTTTTGCACTGACTTTTCACGACCCAGTTTGGGATCATTTTTTTCTATTCTTTTGAGTGCAGGATGCTCCAAGCTTTGAGGTCAAAGCTTCTTAAAGAAGAGGGGCTTGCTCACAATTCGGGCAGGTTTCAAGTTCCAATTAATCGATCAAAGATCGGGTCAAGTTAACAAGAACAACGCTGTAAATTTTCTAAGTGTTGGAACAGTTATGGGAACCCTACTTTGGAGGGGTATTTCTCTCAAATTGTTCAATGAAAATGCAAGGTTAGGGTCTTGTTTTGGACCTTGGTTGTTCCTCTACCACTTGGTGCACTTGGATCATGGAAAGGTAGCCAGAAGGGTCATTTGTCAAGGCCATCAACAACCTATTTTGCATTCTGGAAATTGCCAGATTTTGGCTAAGGCAAGAACTCAGTTTCGGGTAGCAACTTTGGGGCTTTATTACGGGAGCTTGAGGTACGATCAATGGGGGATTCGACTTGGAGACGATGGTGTGCAAATTTCTAAACCACGAGAAGGTGTTGGCTAAGTTCGGCGTGACCCAGAAGGCCATTTCCTACAAGCTTGAAGGCTGGTTGTGAAACATGAGTAGGAAGGCAGAATTCCTTGTGCAAGTTGGATTCCTTGAGCTAGAAGATTCCTTATTAAAGTAGATTTCCTTTACCAATTCTGTTCTAAATTGTGTCCTTGTTTAAATAGGATAGTTGCTTGTTCTTTTGGCTATAAAAGCCTTACTCGAATCATTTTAAACACACGTTTAAGTTTAATCGAAAGTTTACTCCGAGGAGTTTTCTCAAGCTTGCGAGCTAAGTTGTTCTTGGTTTTGGCTGAGAATTGCTGACCTAGAGATCGAGTCGATCATCCTCGATCTTGTGGTAATCTCTACCCTAACTAGCCTCTTCGCTCTCGTGTTGAAGTTGCTTGTTCGGTTTTTCCCATTCATCCATCCAACCCCTCTGTTTTACCCACAAATTCATCACCACCTCGAAGATAACTACCCTAGTTGCGTACTCTGATCGTTTGAGTTCCCTCTTGGGCTCATCAACAATGACATTCAAATTTTAGTGTCCTAATTAAGTAACCCAGAGGTTGTATTGCTCTTGTTTTTAATGGTGCCTAAAGAGGTTTTGGAAGAAGAATCCATGTTCATGTTCATGTCCAAGAGTCCACACACATATATAATTTTATCTTTGGTGCATTCACTTTTTTTGGTGAGTGCTATTTGTCTCATAATTGTCATTAAGAGTAGATGATCGTGACAAAATGATGTAAATCATCAATTGTGATAAGATGGACAATCTAACACGTGAATTTTCGCAAAAAATCATTCAAGATTTACTTCGATTTGAAGGATTTAGAGTTTAGGGACTTAGGGTATTAAGGTTTACAATTTGAAGTATAGGGTTAAGGTTCAAAATGAAGCTTTATAGGTTAGGGTTATGTATTGATTAGCGATGATTCTATGTTATATCATCATAATAGACTAATGTCACCAATTAAAATTCAAAATTTGATGTCTCGAGAGTAATTTTAGAGTTGGGATTGAAAACCTCCTCCTTATATATATTGTTCATCGATTCAGCAATATAGTTTTCTAGTTATACTCTAGAGGGTATCCCGCGAATCCGGCATCTAACTCACTCTTATAAAAAGTGGATGCGCTAGTCTGGTCGGAAAGAACATTAATGATACCGTCCAACTTAGACCAAAATTTCAAGGTTTATGGATATCAATAATAATACAAATTAGCAAGGTTCAAGAAAGCGTAATTCCGAGTACGCCTAGAAGCACTTAAGCGCTAGGTAGTGACAAACACCTTGCCTAGACCCTAGACAAACAATTAGTGTCATAATGCATATGCGGCTACTCTGCAAAGGTAGACATGATTAATTGGTGTGAGGTATGATTAATCAAAGTGAGACATACTTAAGCGCGCTGCCAACCAACACTTAAGAAAAATTGTATCTAATCTTCCCGAAACAACTTCTGTCGTTCTTCTCCAATTCCAGTCAACCCAACCTCTACCTTATTATTCAGTATTCACCATCATAATTCTAGAAAATCATAACATATTTTGCCTATTTTTATGATTAGCTAAGTTATTAATCATTTGAAATTAAAACAATATTTTCACTTAAAACTTCTAAGCACCACCTAAGCGTGCTAAACGTAAGACAGAATTCCATAGACAGACTGTCATCACCGATTTGGGAGATCTGTAAGAAAAATATGGGCACACAAAAGAAGAAAAACCAATGTTGGAAGTGATGGACGCCAATAAGAATCATCATATTTGTCATTTGTCAATCACATGTTTTGTTTGGTGTGTTGCAAGAATGAATGGATAGAATAGGGATAGAACAGTACAGTATTAACTAATAAATTATCAGTACTGATAATAAGTAATATGAGGGAGACAGACAGAAAAGGTATGTATTATGGAATTATTTGTTTAACTTAAAAAAAAAAGAGAATTATTTGTTTTTTTAATGAGTTATGGAATTATTTGTTGCAGGTTGCATTGTTAATTTATTATAAAAGAAAACAAAATCCCACTTCCATAATCCCCACCATCACCATAATTTCCCACCCACCATCACGAAAGAAACTCTTGCTTTAATTTGGATCCCAAAATCAAAATCCTTTTTCAGAAAGAAATAAAATCAATTCCCCAGCACCTTCCTTTTCCTCCATCAGTCTCCCTTTAGATGTATGATGGTAATGAATTGAGTTGGATTGGATTTATCTAAATTTAAATCAAAATTAGTGTGTGCACTCAATATTTTTTTTTAAATACCCATTGAAATTTTGAAATAGGCAATCCAACTAGTATCCATGGGTGTATGGGTACCCTTGGATTCCATAAATTATCCATATTGTATCGCTATCGAATTTTTCCCTGCAAACATATATATCTCAATAAAGACTATCAACATCAATAAATTATCCGTATTATTGGATTTATATTTACATAAAGAGTAATAGCATTCATAAAATATTCATATTTATTCTGATTAGATACAAAATGGTGTTAGGACGGGTGAAAAGCGGGTTGAATTTTGGCAAAATCCAACCTAGCTCGCCAATTTCAAAAGCGAGTAAAACATGTACCCAATCCAAAATCCGTCAACATGTTTTACTCGCTTTGACGATGTTGTATCAGGTTGAGTGACAAATTGTTGTTTGGAAAGAAAAAATAAGAGGGCAATGAAGTGAAAACAAGGCATTATTGTTAAACCAATTATCTAACTAATCGGTTGAATCAGGTCTGACCATAACCACCCATACTCGATCAAAATCATTGCAAATCTCTTGATTTTATCCATTTGATAAAGTGGCCGAATCAGCATTCTTCTCACACTTTTTCCTGAAGACACTTCCTCTCTTGGATTTTCAACGCAAATATAAAATGGTATCATAGCATTTTCACATTAATTCCCTCTTTCTCCTCTTTGCACCCCAAATTGAGAGGAGATTGGAATAATCAATTTGCACTCCACTTCCTCCTCTACTTACTGCTACTACTATTTATACAATATCCAAAGAAGTGCAAGTGTTTCAAAATTGTATTTGCACCCTCTCCCATTTACCAAATAGAGTGTAAAGGATGTAGTAGGTGGGGAGATGCGTAGCTGAACACGAAGTGAAAAGTTGTGGGGTAGGAAGTTGCTGGCGATTTTCAGCTGTCGAGGCAATAGAAGGAATCACTCAGCTCAGTCCCAAGGAATTGGTATCTCTTTCAGAGCAAGAATTGGTTGATTGTGATACCAAGGAAGAAGGGTTTGACTACCGAGATCAATTACCCCGATGAAGGAGTTTGAAGATGTTCCAGCCAATAGTGAGTTCGCATAGCTCAACATTATAGCGAGTCAACCAATTTATGTCGCAATAGACGCAACTGATTCCTCATTTCCAGCTCAACGAGAGTGGGATCTTTACAAAAGAGTGCAAGACTGAATTAGACCATGGAGTGACTACTATTGGGTATGGCAGCATTGATGGAATGAAGTACTGGTTGGTGAAGAATCCTTGGGAGCTCAACGAGGAGGGGAAGGATACATCAGAATGCATCGAGATGTTTTTGCTAAGGAAGGCCTTGGTGTAGGGGTGTGCATTCGATCGGTTCAGTTTCGACCGAACCAAACTTATGAATTCTGGGTCCCCGAATTTTTCCAAACCTCAAATCGAATTCGAACCGAATTATAATTCGATTCGGTCGGTCTAAACCGATTTGTAATTTGGCACAAAACCGAATTTGTGGGCTACTTGTATCTTCTCCCTTTTAAATTATTTTTCACCCCTAATATAAACGATAAATATGCAATTATATGCATCATCAATAATAAAATCAAACATTTGAACACATAAGTTATAAAACACTAACATAATTCAAATATTTAAGTCTAAAAAAACTACAAACATAAAAATTCACCATTTGCAGCTTGCAATTATGGTAATTAGGTTTTTCAGTCGGAAATTCAGAAAATTCGGTTTGGTTTAAAGAACTCTGGTTTCCAAAATATCCAGATATGCATTCCGAATTCCGAACCAAATAGCATTATTTCGGTTTCGACTCGGGTTTACCGAACCGATTGCCCACCCCTACCTTGGTGGCATTGCTATGCAGGCTTCTTACCCCACTGCCTAAAACCTGATCATCTGTCGCTGAAGACCATCTGGAAAATGGAGGGCACCAATTGTGGGAAGCACTTCTGATGGCTTGTGAAACAGAGCAGGCTACTCACGAGTGAATAACGGAGGGGAAGAAACTTGACGAATGATGGATCTTGGCATTTCTGTCTAATGTACTTGAGCACAGGCTCCATGTACCAAGGGGTTGCAGCGTTGTGACTGAAGTATGGAGGAAACAATACCACCAGCTAAGCACCTCGAGTTCTATGCTCTCCACCATTCGGCAGTAGTTTCTCGACTGGGTTGCAGCAGCTGGAATCATTAGAGACGATACAGTTAAAAGTTTGGCAGCATTCCTTGCAAATCTCTTTGGACCTGCGGCATATCTGACGAAGAGATTAGAGGAGCTCCCAAATGCCTCACTGAAGCCTTGGGAACTGGGGACTGAAAAGGTTGAACCGAGGCAAACAGGTGCGACGAGAGACTGTCACTGATACACAGACACAGGCTGCAATTCTAAGACCTGCTGAAGAGAGACAGGGAAGTCAGCGAGATATCATACTTATCGGGGGAGGGGAATTCTCAGAAGATTTACTCACCAAGGACAAAGGACAAACTATGAAGTTATTGGGGTCCCAGAATCCCATATGATCAGGAACAAAGGTAAGGCAGCGTCTTCTTTCTACCAAAAAAGAAATCACAGGTAAGCATGCTGAGAAGCAACTAAGCAAGTAGTTTACCACATGGACAAGTAATGCGAGTAATTGGCCAGCTCTAAATTGTCAACACCAGCACATTGAGATGCAAGTGTAAGAGCTCAACCTGTTCTGTTACTGTTGGAACACCAGCAATAATACAAGAGAAAGACTCTGCACTCTCCTTCCGGTAGAACAGAATGTCCCAAAACATGCACTCTCCTTCCGGTAGAACAGAACGTCCCAAAACAGCCAGGGCACTTATGGAGAGGGGATCCTTTATGAGTACTACCTCTCTGCAAAAATAGAACTGATTATGAAGAGAATACACTTCGGTATGAGCTCCATCAAGTTGAACAAATGGGATGAAACAGCAGGAGAAATTCTGCCAAAACTCAAAAGTTGCACGGTGGAAGTATAAGGAAGTGCTCATAATGGCATCTTTAAAAGTTCAAACAATATATCCAGTTAAAATTTATCGTCACTCACCCCCAGGAGTTCCACTGAGGATACGATTTCTAGAGACGAGTTTGAGCCCCTTTCAGGGATCCAAGGATGGAATATCTGACATAGCTACTCCTGTGGAATTTGCAGCAGCAGATTGAGATTCCTTTTCTTGTAGAGATAATTTTGTACAAGCACCAGAACTATTGAGAAAATGCTGGCAAACTGATTCAGCTTAGTTGCGAGTTGCGATTTCCTATTAACTCATCTTTGGGAAGGCCATGATCAAGTAAACCTTATAAAAGTATTGTGCAACTAAAAAGCCCAATGTACTTGCAATCCCAAACAGTAGAAAGAAAATAAACAAGCCACTGACCAAGTGACGATGACACCAACAAGATGTGCCCGTTCAAAAATTTCCAATATATGCCATAACCATTGCACGACATGGAGCATAATCGTGCAAGAAGGAAACATCATGTATAAGTGCCAGATTAATAGTCATGACTCATGACATGGATATAGTACATTGATCACAGAGATATTGCAATTTTTTTATAGTTAATGAAGCCAAAAGGTTCGTGATTGAACAAATAAAAATGTTTTAAGGCAAGCCAATGTATATTCATCAAAAGGGGCCAAGTCCCCATGTATCAAGTGTGATTCGTCCATTATGTTAACACCAGATCAACCAGACGAAACATCCAGGCCACTTAAATGTGTCCTAAAGGAGCACACCTGCACCAACCTGGTAAAGCTCATTGAATTCTTTGGTACCCATTAGACCAGGCTTTCATGGATAAGAATATACACGCAGAACTGATAACCACATCACTAAAGTGAGGAAAACATGTGGCAGAATGAAAGTAATTATGAACACTCTTTATTTTTTGGGGTAGAAAGGTCTACGTCCGAGCGTCTAGTTCATATAAATAATCGAACAATCATGAGAAACACCCATTATGTCATGTAACAACCAATTTCCAAGTCCCGGGATGCACACATTGAAGCGATGTGTGCCAAAATCAACAAAGTGACCCCTATTGGCTAAATAATCAGCTGCAAAATTAGACACCTCAGATGCAATGCAATGTAAGATCAGCAGCAACTTTAAAAGTAACTTTTTGGGCTGTATGGACTCAACTATACTTCAAGGGAACTTCTTCCAAGGATCAATCACATTCTGATAGGGGCTGACAAACTAAAGGCATAATAACACAAATCACTCTGTACTTTTTTTCAATGCAGTCAAAAGGGCGATTCTACCTAGAAGCGGAAAAGGGGTAAAATCGTAAAGCGTAGAATTAAAGCGTAAAAGCGTAAGTTTTTGACGCAAACTGTAAAAGAACTAAAAATATGTTAAGTACGACATATACTATGAAAAATATGAGTGCACAAAATTCAGATAAGTTAATAAATACTTGCAATTCATGTCTAAAGTAGAGCAACTTATAGCCTCTTAATTATAATAAGTTCATAAATATAAATCTTATAAAAAAGTCACATTCCCCTCCATGCTAAGGAATTTGAGAAGAGCCTAGATAGTGAATTAGATTACTTTATTGAAGTTCATAATGCATCCAAGTATCTGGTATGTATCTTTTAATCTTAAACGTATCATATTGTCGGTGATTTATTTTTAAAATTTACTTTATATAATTAATTTCATGAAAAGAAGACCCATTCAGTGAAGTAAAAGCGTAAAAACGTAAAGCGTTTTAGTGAACTAGAAGCGTAAAATCGTAAGTTTTTAAGTTTTAAAGCGCAATTTAGTATGATTTTATACATTTACATAGAAACGAAAGCGTTTTGGTGACCTAGAAGCGTAAAACCGTAAGTTTTTAAGTTTTAAAGCGCGATTTTGACTGCATTGCTTTTTTTTTCTCCGGAAAGTAAATCACTCCACTTCTCACTCAATGATATTAGCATAATACATCAGAACAGGGAATATAATGCTAAAACGGAGGTATCACAACATATCTGTAAATATTCCAGAGAGTACGATCAGATAGATTACACATACGAACCGAATCACTAAATATATATATAGACAAACAATTAATGTTATAAAAGTGCAAATAGAAGGCATGGAATAATAAAAAATAAAGCAGGCAAAAACCAAAATAGACTGATGCTACATAATATGATAATATACCTACTTAAGTCACCTAGTAACATTGATTTCATCTCATAGAAAAATTCGCTTACTAAGATTGAGTACATCACATAGAACAATGTTCCACAAGATTGAAAATCCTCCAACAAATAGTTCAACATGTATAAAGCGATAAAAGAGAAAGAGAAGCTAGAAGAGACGGCATAGTAACCAAAGCCCTGACACAAGAAAATATATTGTTCCGAACTGCAGAAGCATAAGATATCAATGGGTCCTAATCTTATCTAACAAAGTATGGTCACAGGTCAATGTAGAAGAGCCAGTGTGGCAAGTTACATGTGGTAAGCAGTAACAAACGAAAAACATAGGCAATACAAAAATATCCAAGCCATGATGTTGTTACTGCCATATTAAAGAGATAACATTTCTGTGAGATAAATAAGAATGCTAATAACCATGAGCAGTATGTTCAGCAGGAATGAAACACACAGAATATTATCTACTCACCTTTGCTAGCAACCCCAATGAGCCACATATTTGCTGGAATGAATACTTTTCGAACACCAGCTGAAATATTAACAGTAAGATTTTTCAATCAAACAATGTCACAAAGAAAATCTGCAAATCTAATACATTCAAGATAATGAATAGTCAGACCTTCGATGGAGAAGTCAAGTTGTAGACGTTAAACCATTGATGGAATATATCCAGCTAGCTTCATCTGCTCAGTTAAGTCTTTTAACACTGAAAAAATCTCCCTCTTCTGTGGATGCCTTTTATCTTTCACCATGAAAGTATGCATGTCGCCCATGATCTCAATCCAACTGTAACCAGGCTGTTTAATAACTCCATGATGTCTCATCATGTTTCTCACTTTTCGAACATCCCCCCATTTGCCATGCTCGGCATACATATTTGAAAGAAGAACATAAGGTGCAGAATTTGTGGGATCAATCTCCAAAAGCTTTTCTGCAACATACTTCCCTAGAGTAATATTGCGACTTACTTTACATGCACCAAGCAAAGAACCCCATACAACTGCATCGGGCTCTACAGGCATTGTCTCTATCAAACTCTTGGCTTCATCTAGGTGACCTGCTCGACCAAGTAAGTCTACCATACAGGTGTAATGGTCCTTCATGGGCACCAACCCATAGTCCCTTGTCATTGAGAGAAAGTAGCGACGTCCCTCCTCAACAAGTCCTGCATGACTGCAAGCACACAAGACACCGATCATAGTGACATGATCTGGTTTCTCTTCAAACACAAGCATTTCTTTAAATAAAGCAAGAGCCTCCAGCTCATTCCCATTCTGTGCACACCCTACAATCATAGCATTCCATGAGACAACATCCTTTTCAACCATGCTTCTGAAAACCTGACGACCTTCTTCAACCGATGCACATTTCATGTACATGTCTATGAGAGAGTTCCCGACAAAAGTATCTGGATCTTCATTAAATTGAAACCCAAATCCATGCTTCAAAGCATGAGCATGGGCCTGCCGGCCAACCTGCAGATCAGCGAGATTGGCACAAGCATTCAGTAAGTTGCCAAAGGTGTAGTGAGTTGGGAAAATAGATTCCCGTTTCAGCATACAAAAGAGTTTGAGCGCCTCCTCATTCTCATCATTCTGAGTATAGCCTGCAATCAGAGCATTCCAGGACACCACATTCCTTTCCATCATCTTTGTGAATATCAGTTTTGCAGATTTAAAACTTGCAACTTTAGCATAACCGCTCAACATAGATGTTTCAGACACCACATTCCTCACAGGGATCCTATCAAAAACACGTCTAGCTTCACTAATCTTACCACATTTTGCATACATATCCACCAATGCATTTCCTAGAATAAGGTCACCTCGCAATTTATAAGATTTCACTACACGAGTGTGTATCTCCATACCATGCTTCAAAGCCGCCAAGGTTGCACAAGCACTAACCACACTAGCCAGAGTAACTTCATCTGGTTCGAAGGAACTCTCCATCATTCTAACAAACACATCTAAAGCTTTCCTTGCTGGACCATTTTGTTCATAACAAGTGATCAAGCTATTCCAAGAAACAATGTTTCTTTCCTTCATCTCATCAAAAACTTCCAGAGCACACTCCACAACACCACATTTAGAATACATATCAACCAGAGCAGAACCCATATATACATCAACATAGTAGTGACATTTGAAGACCAAAGCATGAAGTTGGGTACCCATTTTAAGGTCCTTCAAACCTGCACAAGCACTTAGACCACTGCCGAAAGAATATTCATTAACTCCAAAATTATCCCTATGCATCCCAGCAAAATAACCCAGAGCTTGTTGGAGCTCATCATGTTGTGCAAAACCAGCAACCATTATGTTCCATGAGCACTGATCAGGCTGAGGAATAGCCTCAAATAACCGCACACCCTCATCAAGGAAACCCACCTTCATTAACGTGCTCACGATTGAGTTCCAGGTGAAAGTATTTCTGACAGGCATTCTATCGAACAGTTTCCGAGCATCCCCCACACAACCACACTTTCCATATGCATCAATGAGCTTATTGTGGATAAAAACTTCGAATGCAAACCGAGATTTGATGATACTCGCATGGACACGACGGGTGTCTGTCGTGGACCTGGACGCAACACAAGAATCCAATAGGCTAGCAAAGGGCGAAGAGTTGAGGAAAGCAAGGTCCCCGATAACACGTTTAGCAGAAAAACACATTCTTACCATTCCACTTTGATTATGAAATGAAGCCTTCATTATGAAGGACAAGTTCGACTGTTGAGCCGTGCTGGAAGACTGCTGCCAGCCACTCCCGTGCTGAAAACTCAGTTTATACCACAAATCCGCTTAGTTCTGCTCATCATCTTCCCTCGCCTATTTCAAACTGCAGCCGCGGCTCACTTCTGCTCATCATCTTCCCTCGTCTCCAGTTAGAAATAACCAAATAGGTCCTTAAGATTAGAACTATTTACAAATAAGTACGAAGTCTATGGTTCGTTTGGAGCAAGAATCTCATTAATGATTAATGAGGGACTGTGCCCAAATTTGACAAAATATGGACTTGTGTAAAAAATAGCAAGGATTACGAAACTGTACCGGACATCAAATCGGAATCGTCTTTGGCATGGTAAATCGTGGTACAACCATGGTTCAACCGTTTCATACCGGTAAATACCGTTTTTGGAATAAAAAAATTTTTTTTGTTAAAAAACCGTACCGGCAAAATTAGGGTACCCATACCGGGAAAATACCGGAATAAAACCGGATTATACCGCCTAAGAAACTGTAAAAGAGTAAATGAGCTTAGGTAACATTCAACAAAGTGCGAGATTTCAATACCTAATAAACCTCATAATCATCCAAATACATTTTTAAAAACTAGTACAAAACCACAAGCTTAACGTTCACAAACCACAAGCTTAATGTTCCACAAACCACAAGTTTAAACTTTAATGTTCACAAACCACAAGTTCAATGTCTCAAACTAGAAAGTAGAAACTACTAATTGGATCTTTTGTTTGAAATCAAATCCATATCTTCAAGCAACTCCAAATGTAGAAAAGTCAACATTCGGGGTTCACTAACCCATGAATCAACCTATTTTAATGTTTTTGTTTGATTTGTACTAAGTAGAATAGAAGCAGTGACAAAGGGAGATGGAGAAAACAAACACTACCTCTAATCTCAGTGTGTACTTTTTTCTCCTAGGTTACGCTTGGCTTGCTTTCTGCTCTTCTGGGCTCCTCCGTTCAGAGATGGCTTTCTGGGTTGCTTGCAGTTGAAGGAAATCGTCGATTGATTCGTACAAATCCTTGAGGCCACTCAAATTAGATGGTGAAATCTGACAGGACGGAATCAACAACTCCGCGATGAGCTCTCAAAGGTACGATTCGTTTGCTCCGTCGTCACTATCATTCAGCCGCGAGGGGAAAAGGAAGGTGTCGGGCAGTTCATCTGAGAATGCCGAGATGGGAACGACCAACGAAGTTCCTCTTTCTCCGGCGCGGCGCGGCTGGGAACGACCAACGAAGCTCCTCTTTCTCCTCCGGCGCGGCGCGGCTGTGAACGACGATGTCTTCGGTTGCTGGGGAGGACGAGTCGCCGGTGGTGTTTGGTTGCTGGGGAGGACGCTGTCGCCGGTGGTGTTTGATCTCTGGTAGAGTTTGAGAGGCAGAGCGGTGCGGCGCGGCGTGGGGAGACGAGCGGCAGAGCGGCGCGGGGAGAGGGAGAAGAGAGGCAGAGAGAAGAGCGCTAGCAATAGCAAGGGCCAGCCGAAGGTAGGTTTTCGCGTCTCTGCTTACCTTCCGTTTTTTTAAAGCTTGCGTCAAAACGGCGCCGTTTGAGTTAAATGAAGGAACCGCCGGGTTTATTAAAACCGGCCGAAATTTCGGCTCATTGCGGTCCAACCGCAAATACCGTCCGGCAGGATTTTGAAGGGTACACAGCCCCTATTGTGCCGTTTTACCTCCGGTTTCCGTTTTTCCCGGTCCGATTGGCCGGTCCGGTACGGTATCCTGGTCCTTGTTTTTACAATTTCTCAAGAAATACACAAAATATATAATTTCATCCAAAAATTTAACGAAATAGTTTTAGATGCTGATTAGACTAACATGATTTGGCGAATAAAAAATAGGTGGAATTAAAAAAAATCACTTGCATAGCGATATTTATCGACTTTGTGATAGGAAAAGTCAAATATGAGAAATACACAAAATGTCTATATTTTGGAATCATGTTTGATAAATTTAATCATTTGCGTTAAAAAGTTTTAACGTCATTAGAGTTCTGTTAGTTACATTAACAAGAAGCTGACGAGGATGTCAACTTGACGCACACGTTAGCAATAACTCGACATGCCATGCTACGGGGATGCTACATCATATTTTAATTATTTTTTTATAAATTTCTTTATCCATCCTATTCTTCTTCTAGGCCCACCGTCATCCTTTTCGAGTCCCCAATCAGCACGCCGACATGTGCGACTACTTGCTTCTTCGACGTTCTAACAAAATACACTTCCTCGTTGTAGTCGTTTACTGGTGAAAAAACTCGAGATTGTGGTGCTGGTGGAGATCATCGAGGGCAGTTTCGCCCTCTCCCCTTCTAGTCAGTGGTAGAGGAAGACCTAGTTGGAGCATTTCGAAGAAAAGGGAAAAGGGGTTGAGGCGGGCATTTCGAAGAAGGGAAAGGGGAAGGAACTCGACGTAATTGGAGATGGATGACTCTTGCATTTTATTTTAGTTAATTCCGCCTGACAATGTTTTTTGTAAAGTGTTGCCAAGTCAGCAAAATCGTTGACTCTTCTATACTATAAATAAAGCAGATTCATGGGTTGAATTTTCTCCATTTCAAATTTCTAGCAACTAGAGTGAAAGTAGGAAGAGTATTTTTGTCTTCACAATTATTTATTTATTTATTTTGTATAAAAATATATCAGTACCGAGATTTGAACCATGGTCTCTTTAAACAAAGACAAAAACATAACCAATTACACTAAACAAATATGTTGTATACTTTTTATTACAAAACATGCATGAAGTTAAAATCTGAAAAACAGATGACTTTTGCAGAACGATAAGCTAGCTCACTAAGTCTCCTGTAAGTATTTTATGGTGCTTGATAATTCGATTTTCATATTAGAATGTTTTAGTTCTAGACTATCCTCCAATCTATAAAATATATGAAGTAGATTCATAGGTTAAATTTTCTCCATTTCTAATATCCAGCAACAAAGTGATTTTTGAAAAAAAAAATGTCATTTACCACACTTTAATTGGAATGCTTCTTTAAACATTTCTATTGGGATTTAAATTTGTGGCACTGATTTTAGTGTTTCTGCTAGGCTTTAAAAATTCGTTGGGTTCTATTTCACTTTCTAATTTATTTTTTATTTTATTGTTATGTTGCTGGAGGGACGCAAACTCTTCCAACGTATAAGAGGAAACAAAGAAGCAGAAATCTCTCAGCCGTAACTCTGTCACCAACTCTGCCGTTCTTGGGACCTCTCCATGGAGCCTTCTGCACCTTTCCTGCCAGACAAAGCTAATCAAGGAGCACCATAGAGGTTCAATAAGTCTCCCCAAAGCCGTGTTTTGTTTTGCAACCATACCCACGTCTAAGAGTCGGAGATCCCAAGAGCTGCTACTGAAAAAATTACCAACTCTGCTAAAAATACTCATCGAAAAACAACATTCGAAAAACAAATGATTTAAAGTCTCACTATTGGCATGGCATAAAATGCATCTATCTTCATTTAATTTACCCAACCGCATCAACTTTACCTTGGTTACTATCGCATCCATGACCACGATCCATGGCTGCTACTGAAACAATTACCAACTCTGCTAACAATACTCCTCGAAAAACAACATTCGAAAAACAAATGATCCCAAGTCTCTATTTTGGCATGGCATAAAATGCATCTATCTTCACTTAATTTATCATACCATATCAACTTTCCCTTGATTACTATCGCATCCATTGCCACGATCCATGCTATGATACTCCAACGCGACACATAGAATTTACTACAGAGAAGAGCAGACCAATGTTGCTTGCTCTTCACATGACATATCATAATCCCAGACTGCGCTCACTGAGTAGATGGGCATCAATTTCCCATTCCAAAAGCATTCATCACCCTGCTTCCTCATAAACGGCTGCACAGTTGACCGAAGCTTCAGTGGGAATCTCCACGCCCAATCTTCTCTATTTTCACCTATCAAACAACAAGATGGTGTGTTTTTCATAAATCCAGTTATCAAACCAAGCTACACATGAATGAAAACGTCAGTTATCATTATTCTAATAAAGTCCCCAATCTTGAAGATTCCCATATCATTTCCAGCTTCCATAATATGGTACTAAACGTTTGTTACAATTTACTTCAATCTAATTTTATTATTTAGATTAATCTAACGGTTTTATTAGCCCGTATTAAAATATCAATTTAATATGATTTGGATTACGGTACAAAACCCAAACCTAAAAAGCTAGAAAAACCCAACCATATAACCATTTATCGAACGAACATGTATGTTTAACAACAATAGATTTATTTTTAACAATTATGATATTAGTTTTAATTATTCGAGTTAGTACTTATTTCATTTTGTATGATTTTAACAATTATTATAATCAACATAAATGTTCTTTTATGAAGGGTTAGACTCGTGTTCTCCTAGAGTATAATATGATCTATGAATTCATAGTGAGATATCTCAATCTAGACCGTGAATTAAATAGAGTTTGGGGTATGATACTATACCCTAACATCAAATGGAAAAACCCCAGGCCCCGATTTTTTAATCCCAAACCCAAAAGTTCAATTTAATAGAAAATAAAAATTAACTGTTGAGATTGGTCGGAGCTCATCCATATAATTCTAATGGCCAGATCATATGGAGCATACGAGTCGTCTTCATTTATAAAATATAATTTATTAATGATATCATGAATACTAATAATATGAACAAATAATATTAATAGACAACTATGATATTTGATCATATTGTTAACAATGAAATTATGTATTGTTAATAATCTACAAATTGAAACGTGGCCAACATAAGCAAATTCGTTAACCATATATATCTCATATGAACGGGAAGTATCCAATGAACAAACCGTCACGAAAGCAATTAACACTGAAGTATGAATATCAACAGTTAATAAATTAAGCTTCCAAACTTTGACATCGATTGCAGCAAAAGAATAAG